GTGTTGAATGGTGAAGTCGCTTCAACTCATTTCACTTGTTTGCAAACAAGTTTACCAGTTTATTCTGTGATGAGAGATTAACCGACGTCCACGTTACCCTAGCAGCCAGAAATGTTCCACTATATGGACAAACACTGACTGGGTGCAATTGATGTCAACGTCGAGATGATTTCCACTGCCACATTTTAACTCAAGTCCAGCTTATTTCTAAAAATAACTAATACAATCATAAAATACCTTCTTTTTTCCTTAATTTGTTTTCCGTCGGTTTGGTGTTCGTACTGAGTACCAATGCTACCAACGCCATAGAGGCAGCTCCAATACCTGGACCCTACCTATCGACAATTCAAATAATGAACCGAAGTCCAACGGCTTTACTACCCCGGCACCAATGTATACAATATCTTCTTGCAGTTTATTCTGAGGAGCTTTTGATAATGCATCCAATGACTTGTGCATTCAAAGCAAAATAAAAAAAATGTATTCAGTGATGTCATGGTTAATTTGTAACTAGTATCAACTTAAAATACAATTGGCGTCCTTTTAGGAAATAAAGAAAAATAATGTTCATTTTAAAGAACTGGTTATCCTGCAGGGTTACCAGTTCTAATCACCATGACAACACTGAATGCATTGTCTACTGAATTCGGGCTACATTTGCTAATGTATAATCACTTCAGTGCTTCGTCTATAACCTAACTATCCTCAAGGTGATTTACGTCTGAAGGTGGATTATTTTTTGATGCTTTTCAATTATTAAGAAGTAAGAATCAAGTGATTACTATTTCAGAATGATGTGGAAACGAGGTGACTAGCATAGCATATATTAGGTCATCAACAGTAAATTGTCATATAAAAATCATTGCAATATGATTTAATCCCCCTTCATTCGATGGACGATAAAATTTGGGTCGGAGCTTCGGCAGGAAACTTACGTATCATCGGTAAATTAAACGAGGGCATCCCAAGTAACAATTTTGCTTTTATGAGGGTTCTGGAGACCATGATTTAGACTTGTAGCATGCTTTAAAACCTCAATAAAACTTGCAATGTTACTTGGGATGTCACCTATATTACAGCCTTTATACGTCGTAAAATTGTATGTTTTGAATGATGTGTCTCCTCTAAAGTGCCACAATCTCATTATGTATTAATATATTAAATCAATATAATTTCAATTTATGCTAACATTCGTTAACTTAAAAAAAAATTAATCTTAAATCAAGTGTGAAGTTGCATTTGACCCATTCCATGAGTTTCTTTGCCGCGAATTTGCATGTACATTTTATGTTCTAAATTGTTAATATTTTAAATTTAGATTGAATTTTGACAAAACTTGTAAAACAAGTTTTAAATAACCTGAGTAATATCAAAACAATAGAAAAATATTTATTACATTACAACAGAGCTAAAGTCGCAACAAGGCTATTTTTAGGTCAGGCTGTCATGTGTTTTACTTTAAGCAGCATTTGTTAGCGACTATATTCATAACTATTAATTGAATGGAATGATTATCATTGATGCTGTAGGGGTGTGAGTGTACATAATGCACTGTCGCAACTACCGTAAACATAGCTGCAAGAGTTCGTTATCAATTGGTCGAATGTGTAACAGTTAATAAAACAAATAGAAAGTTAAAGAAAAAGTGATAAATATCTTACTATAAATTTCAACCTTCGCCATCTTTTAAAGATAATCTATTTATCATCCAATATTGACACCATAACTACATTTCTATTAAATTTGCCAATACGCCTTTTTGATTGAAACTAAACGATCGATTCAACCTCTGGTGGTAAATAGGAGAACGTCAAAAAGAGTGTTGTGAGCAGAAATTTTTGCCGTGAGACATAAGAAGTGGAACACTTTTTGACTCTCCTCATAAATTCCGGATTTCTTGTGCGTGAACAGTTCAGGTGCAAATCAGTTCAGATCTGTGAAAAATCGTAAAATATGGCAATTGATGGAAATTGGCAAGACTTTGATGAATGAAAAATGCTTCAATTTGCGTTGTGAAAAATCCTCATTCTGATGTAAACAAACGGTTTGGCTGACGTTTCCTCTCGGCGCACTCTACATTGGTGGTGCATTAAATCGGCCTATATAAACGATCTACCACCTCTCAAGGACACCCTTTTCTATACAGAAAAAAAATCATACGCCTAGTAACCAAGTCCAACCAAGTCAAGTAATTATTTTTTTTTTTTTTCCTTTATTTAACGTCGGTCTCTGTTCCGCAATCTAGTGCCAATCACCGACGGACATCGATTGCCATCCATTGACGGCAATCGAATGTGCAGGAAGGCAGCTTCCACACCTGCGTAGGATATCGCACCCATTCAACACACATGGGCCGGGACCAACGGCTTTACTTCCCTTCCGAAGGAAGACGTGACCTGAGATTTTTATGCCTCAGAAAAATCCCACCGACCTCGACTGGGATTGAACCCAGACCCATTGGGGTGTTAGAAAGCAGTCACGCTTACCTCTACACCACCGGCGCCGGCTTCAAGTAATTATAGTAGTTGATTAATTCAATGCCACACTTTGTACTATTTGGTTACACACGACCGGTTCAATAGTGATTCCAGCACTCAAACCTCCAGGTACATGGTAAGAAAAAAGTACCCAAAAGTAAGTTATTTTCACACATCTTGCCATTTAATTGCAGGAAGCAAAAAGTAGGTAAAGCGAGTCAAAGTAGTTTTTAGGTACTTGTGTTCAAATTGTATGGAATTGAAAATTCGCTTTCTACCCAAAAGTAAATCAGTTATACCCAAAAGTAGGTGAATATGATTATACTCATCGTGATTATACTCAAAGTCAACAGTAGGTAAATGTGAACTGACAGCTAGATACTTTTGACGTAGAACTACGTCTTTGTCGACTATACTGGGGCGCAAATCAAAAAATATGTGTGGTGAAGGAGTGTTAGGTTTTGAACGCTTGTAACTTTGTCATTTATAGATGAAATTTAAATCCAAATACGCCAATCGATAGGATATTACAATACAAACCTGCTGAAATATATATTTTTCCAATTTTTCTGTAATTAAACTATTGGCAATGTACAAATGATAACTTTATCACTGTTTTCATGAAATAAGCCTTTTTCCCAAACCCAGTCATCATAAACGAATACCACTTGGTTGCACATCATTCTGCTTGAACATGAAAAGATATAAATCAGCGCTGCTCTCCTGCCTCTGCTCATTACCGCTTCGGACGGCGTGACACTAGGTCCTAGGACTAAATCAGCGGCTTAAGGTGGATCACGGAGTGTCCACCACAATGAGGAATGAGACTTGAAAAAACGTGCATGTAAAACCCCCTCCCCCTTAACAATCTCTCCCCCTCACCCCTTAACAATAACCCGAAAAAGACATGGACTTGGACGATCATGTTTTCCGGGAAATAAATTTTAAGCAAACCACAATTATGCATAAATAATTTATTTTTTACATGCAGAGCCAACATTTTCAAAAAACATTTGCTTAACAGGGACATACACGCGATGGATTACATATAACTGACTGTTAAACATATCTGGTACCTCTATATATGCAATTATATTAACATCCAAAGTCCATCTTTTTTTACATATTCTGCGCAAAAGAAACTTTTTGCTCCGCCCTATTCATAAAAAAAACGGTGGGAAATCCTATCAGGTTTGGTTGCAGCAAGCAGGACTAAGTTAGTGGCTAAAGGTGGATCACGGCGTGACCACAATGAGGAATGCGACACAATGAGGAAAATAAATGTGTGTAAACCCCCTCCCCCCCTTCACAACAACCTCCCCCTCCCTCAACAATAATCCGAAAAACACATGGACTTTAACGATCACTTTTTGCCGGGAAATAAATTTTAAACAAACCACAATTATTATTAGTAAAAACAGGAGTTTTGTTCGCAACAGCGAATAAGTTTCGAGACGACCCTGCACCGCCGCTGGCACTGTAAACGTCCTGAGTTTACCGACCGTCAACGCATCAGCAGCAGAAAAAATCTCCCTTCCTCCTCATCCTTTTTTTTTACTAACCCCGAGATAGCCGCGGGAAAACGGCCTCCCTACTAACATGACAACAACCAATCACAATCATACTTTATAGTACACTTTTCTATCCTTTTTGCGTTGCGCAGTAACAGCCAATCAGCAGTGGCTGATGAAATATTAAATTGTTTAAAAGTAGAGTACGCACCAAAAACTTTGTCAGTCTTTCTTGCATCCTGAAGAATAAAGCAACCACAACAAGTAAAAAGGTTTCTCGCAGTATTATTTCAAGAAGAAACGTCTTCCAGTTTGCTTGCTCCTGCTGTTGATTGGTTTCGTCTGCTTGCTGTTTGAAGTTCCGGTCGTCAGCGTCCTGCTCTGACATGGTCCTACTAGTTGTCTGCTGCGTGTTTCCACATTATCACTTTTCCAAAAGAGTTTATTTCATCGGAGTTCTTTTCAGAACTTCCGATATCGTGTGGTAAGTGGCTTCACCAGCAGAACTAGTGCCCACTCCGTTCCGGGAGCAGCAATCCGTTCCATCGCTTGTCGTTGACAGTGGGCCAACGAAGCATAGTTCGTGTTCATCGTTGGCAGTGGCCAACAATCAGTCTGTCCGTCGATCTCGTTGGCAGTGAGCCAACAAGAAAAATCGTGTTCGTTCGTGTCTGTTGGCTGTGCCCAACATAGTGGTCCGTTCGGAACCGGATTTGTGAAGCGTATACAGTCCGCTATTGAAGTGAATTTTTTCTCGCGTCACGGTAGCAAGTGAAGAAGAACAAGAACTTTTAGTGAACATTGAACGCTACCGTCGATGCTTATGTGACATTAACAGAACAGTAAAGTTATTTGCTTGAACGCAAAAAGAACTCCAAGAGCTCAAGTGTTAGTGCTCCTGCGTTTCATCTGGTATCATCGTGTGACGTTCGAGAATTGCTCTCTCCGTAGCAATTACCATTCCTTTCCGATGCCAGTGGATCGTACCCCATTGAAACCGCTAAAGCCAACCATGGAGGAAATCAAGCCGCTCATCCACCAACGCGGTCAGGTAAAGGGCAAGGTGACTGCGATCGCCAATGCCTTGGAAAAATGCGAAAATGATCCTAGCCAAGTGAGTCTTCCCTTTCTTAAAGTTTACGCCAAAAAGCTAGAAGCTCATTATGCTGAATATTCCGTTTTACACAAGGAGATTATTTGTTCCATTCCTCCTGGTAAAACGGATGATCAAGATGAAAAATTGAACGAATTCGACAAACTTCATACCGATTGTTTGATTCGGTTGGAGTTTCTCATGGAAAGTTTAAGTACTCCTACCAGTGTTTCCTTTACCAACGCCGCTACGCCAGCTAGTGCCACCCAAGTGATAGTACAGCAACAGCCGCTCAAGGCCCCAATCCCCACTTTTGACGGGCGCTACGAAAATTGGCCTCGTTTTCATCCATGTTCCAAGACATCGTCAGCCGATGTTCTGATTCGGATGCGATCAAACTGCATTATCTAGAAAAGGCACTAGTTGGTGCTGCCTCCGGTATTCTTGATGCCAAAACCCTGTCTGATAACAACTACAACCACGCGTGGGAAATACTAACCGATAGATATGAAAATCCGAGGATTATTATCGATACCCATATTGACGAGCTTCTAGCTATGAGAAAGATGTGCAAAGAGTCTCACAAAGAACTACGTGATTTGGTGGATACGTGTACGAGGCACGTTGAGGGTCTTAGGGTTATGAAACAATCAGTTGAGGGTACAACTGGGTTAATTATCAATAAGATTTTGACTTCTTGTCTCGACGCATCCACACGTAAGCAATGGGAACGCTCTCTTGCCCATGGGGAACTACCGAATCTTGAAAAGACACTGACATTCCTGAAGGATCAGTGTCGTGTCCTTGAACGTTGTGAAGCGGATCATCCTACAATCGTAAAATCCCATCCTGTTAAATCATCTCAACCAACCGCTAAGCCCAATAGCGTGAAGGTTCACGCTACTACATCCGACAGTAGTAGTGAGTCTTGTCAGTTCTGTGCTAAGAGTCACTTTAATTACCAATGTACCGATTTCCATAAACTGCCTGTGTCGGATCGAGTAACAAAGGTGAGAGAGTCCCATTTGTGTTTTAACTGTTTGCGGCGTGGACATAGATCCATTGCTTGTTCGTCTAAGAGAAACTGCAGCAAGTGTAACAAGCGACACCATTCTCTTTTGCATGAGGATGGATTCAAACGTGAAAGTAATGTGAATTCCAACAACCATCCCGTCCAGAGCAAAGGTGAGAATGAACGGGTTTCCCTTGTGGTAACTCCCCAAACCCCGTGTGATGATTCCGCAAATTCCTCTACTGTGTCTACCCAGCCGTCCGTCTGTTCTCTGAGTGTTGCCGTCCCTAATGTCTTGCTTCTAACTGCTGTGGTGAGCTTGGTTGATAAAAATAATAAGCATATTCCATGCCGTGCCTTCCTGGATTGTGGTGCTCAAACGAATCTGATTTCTCTTCCCATGTACGAAAAGCTTGGTCTCGAGGGAGTTCCTGTTTCCATTGACATTGTTGGAGTCAGCAATGTGCGCACCAAATCCAAACGTCTAGTAACCGTGAGCCTCCAATCCCTCTACAGGGACTTTCAAGTAGATCTCAAATGTTTGGTAACTCCAAAGATCACGAATGCTCTCCCATCCAAACCTGTTAATATCAGTCAGTGGAACATTCCTTCTGGATTTCAGTTGGCTGACCCTAATTTCTATGTACCTTCTGATGTGGATCTGTTGATTGGACTTGGCCATTTTTTCAGACTATTGAGGACTGGACATCTCGTTCTTGGTGATGGTCTTCCAGAGTTGCGTGAAACCGAACTGGGTTGGGTGGTTTCCGGTGTAATTCGTGATGAGTCTGTAGCATGCCTAAGCCCGCAGCAAATCAACACCGTTACTATCGAATCGCTCAACGAAATGATTAAAAGTTTCTGGGAAATTGAAGAAATCAGCAATGTTTCCCAGCGTACTGTTGAAGAAGAGGAGTGTGAAGAGACTTTCCGCAGCACTCATCGTCGTGATCCTACCGGTAGATATGTTGTGAAGTTACCATTCCGTGAAAATGTTTCTCAGCTCGATGATAATCGTTCGTTGGCTCTTCGTCGCTTTTACTTTCTTGAAAGGCGTCTCCTTCGTGAGCCTGAGCTTCACGCGCAATACTCGAAATTTATCGAGGAATATGAAAGCCTAGGGCATTGCAGAGAAGTTCGTGAGTCAGATGATCCTCCCAGCATGTTGAAGTATTACTTGCCACATCATGCTATCCTAAGGCCGTCGAGTTCAAGTACCAAGCTACGAGTTGTTTTCGATGCATCGGCAAAGCTCTCCTCCGGAACCTCACTAAACGACGTTTTGCAGGTTGGTGCAGTCGTCCAATCTGACCTTGAGAAAATTATCTTGCGATTTCGGAAACACACATACGTGTTCACTGCTGACATTGCTAAAATGTTCAGACAGGTTTTTCTTGATCCTTCACAGGTCGCTTTCCTTCGAATTTTCTGGCGTTCAAAGCCATCGGAAGCTCTCAGAGTTCTCGAGCTACTAACCGTGACTTACGGTACCTCCGCTGCTCCGTTTCTTGCAACCAGAACGTTGCTTCAGTTGTGTATTGATGAAGGTGACGAGTTTCCGCTGGCAGCGCATATTATTCGAGAGGATTGCTACGTTGACGATGTTCTGTCAGGTACTGACAGTATCGAGAAGGCCATCGAATGTCGTCAACAAATTCGGAATTTGTTGCAGAAAGGAGGTTTCCCAGTGCATAAATGGTGTTCCAATGATCAAAGGATTCTCGAAGGTGTTCCCGAATCTGAGCGTGAAACTCTTGTCCAATTGAACGAAATATCCGCCAATGAAGTCATAAAAACCCTCGGTCTTCTTTGGTGTCCAAATAGCGATGAATTTCTATTTGCGATCAACCCTGATCTTTCCGAGATGTCACCCGTTACAAAACGAAGTATGTTTTCAGAAATCGCGAAACTGTTTGATCCACTCGGCCTCGTGTCCCCAGTTATCGTGCTTGCTAAGCACCTAATGCAAAGAACATGGACTCTGAAGATTGGTTGGGACACGCCCCTTGAAGGTGAAATTCTTCATTCTTGGTTGCAATTCCGTTCCTCCTTGGCTCAGGTTAAAAACATTCGAGTTCCAAGACATGTATTGGTTCCTCATTTTGAGTATGTTGAATTACATGGGTTCGCTGATGCTTCAGGGATCGCCTATGGAGCTTGTCTTTATGTTCGTTGTGTCCAACCAAATGATGTGATCACGGTGAGACTTCTTCGTAGCAAGTCGAAAATTGCCCCTATCCATGAACTGACGATTCCTCGTAAAGAGCTTTGTGCTGCTTTACTGCTATCGAAGCTTGTCCAAAAAACCATTCCTGCCATGCAATTAAACTTCTCGTCTCTGTTCTTGTGGTCAGATAGTCAAATTGTTCTTGCATGGCTCCGAAAACCCCCATCGATGTTGCAACCATTTGTACGCAATCGTGTTTTGGAAATCACGGTCGAGAATGGTCACAATGAGTGGAATTATGTTCGTTCTAAAGACAATCCAGCTGATGTGGTTTCCCGGGGACAGTTACCAGGAGTTTTGAAATCAAATTCGTTATGGTGGGACGGTCCTGATTTTTTGAGATCCACTTCTTTCAATCAACCTGAGGTTGAAAATATTCCCGATGAACAACTCCCAGAATTTAAATCCGCTCCAGTAGTTGTGATGCCTGTTCTACATTCTGACGATCTTCCTTTATTCAAGAAATTTAGTTCTTTCCGTAAATTACAACGTGTACTAGCGTACGTACAGCGTTTCATAAATAACTGTCGAACGAAAATTTCTGAGAATCGTGTTAAGAAATGTCTCGCTACCATTGGCGAACTAAGATCATCTCTGCATACGATTGTGAAGGTTATCCAACAAAATGTACTGATTGACGATATAAAAAGGGTTGAGAATGGAGAACCTTGTCGAAAAATCGGAATTCTAGGACCTTTGCTGGAAGATGGGGTTCTACGTGTTGGAGGACGGATTCAGAATTCCCGGGTTCCCCTGAGTACGAAACACCAGTACATCTTGCCAAATCACCCTTTGACCGATCTTCTCATTCGAGCATACCACGAGGAACACCTCCATGTCGGACCGTCTGGTTTGTTGTCCGCTCTTCGTCAACGCTTTTGGTTGCTGGGATCTCGATCGGCTGTACGGAAGATTACACGAGGATGTGTCCGATGCTTCCGTATAAAACCTAAGGGAGTTACTCAATATATGGGTAGCTTGCCAGTTAGTCGCGTTACTCCTGCAGCTCCTTTTGAAGTATCTGGAGTCGATTATGCAGGGCCGTTCGTTATTAAGCATGGAGTAAGGAAACCAATTCTCGTGAAGGCATACATTGCGGTTTTTGTATGTCTGGTAACAAAATCCATTCATCTGGAATTAGTGTCGGACATGACTACGGCTGCCTTCATCGCCGCTCTACAGAGGTTTATCAGTCGGAGAGGTTTAGTTAGAGAGTTGCACTCGGATAACGGTAGCAATTTCCGAGGTGCCCGGACAGAACTACATGAGGTTTTTGTCTTATTTCGTGATCACTCCGCTGTTCATGAAATTGAATCCTTCTGCCAAACCAAGGAAATTGTTTGGCATTTCATTCCACCAGATGCTCCCGAGTTTGGAGGCTTGTGGGAAGCTGGCGTCAAAAGCACAAAGTACCACCTGAAGCGAATACTCAAGGAAACTCCGTTGACTTTCGAAGAATTCTACACGCTGCTTACTCAAGTGGAAGCAATTCTAAATTCACGACCTTTGTTTTCCCATTCCGATGATCCAACTGAAGGCGAAGTAATTACCCCTGCACACTTCCTCATCGGAAGACCACTTACCGCTATTCCTGAGCCTTCCTATGAAGGCCTGAGTAAAAACCGGTTGTCCAGGTGGCAGCATTTACGGCTAACGAGAGAGCATTTTTAAAGGTCTTGGGTCCATGATTATCTTGTTAGTTTGCAACCAAGAGGTAAAAATCGGATTCGTCAGCCCAATGTTAACCCCGGTTCAGTCGTTTTACTCGAAGATAAAAATTTGCCACCACAGCAGTGGAAATTGGGAAGAATTGTCCACTCGCACCCTGGCGAAGACAACTTAGTGAGAGTTGTTGATGTAAAAGTGGGAGATACAGTTTACCGACGCCCGATAACGAAAATTTCCATTCTACCCATAGATGACAATAAGCCTAAGGTCAACAATCAGGAATCTCCAGGTGAATCATCGAATCGCGTGGGGGAGGATGTTCGCAACAGCGAATAAGTTTCGAGACGACCCTGCACCGCCGCTGGCACTGTAAACGTCCTGAGTTTACCGACCGTCAACGCATCAGCAGCAGAAAAAATCTCCCTTCCTCCTCATCCTTTTTTTTTACTAACCCCGAGATAGCCGCGGGAAAACGGCCTCCCTACTAACATGACAACAACCAATCACAATCATACTTTATAGTACACTTTTCTATCCTTTTTGCGTTGCGCAGTAACAGCCAATCAGCAGTGGCTGATGAAATATTAAATTGTTTAAAAGTAGAGTACGCACCAAAAACTTTGTCAGTCTTTCTTGCATCCTGAAGAATAAAGCAACCACAACAAGTAAAAAGGTTTCTCGCAGTATTATTTCAAGAAGAAACGTCTTCCAGTTTGCTTGCTCCTGCTGTTGATTGGTTTCGTCTGCTTGCTGTTTGAAGTTCCGGTCGTCAGCGTCCTGCTCTGACATGGTCCTACTAGTTGTCTGCTGCGTGTTTCCACATTATCACTTTTCCAAAAGAGTTTATTTCATCGGAGTTCTTTTCAGAACTTCCGATATCGTGTGGTAAGTGGCTTCACCAGCAGAACTAGTGCCCACTCCGTTCCGGGAGCAGCAATCCGTTCCATCGCTTGTCGTTGACAGTGGGCCAACGAAGCATAGTTCGTGTTCATCGTTGGCAGTGGCCAACAATCAGTCTGTCCGTCGATCTCGTTGGCAGTGAGCCAACAAGAAAAATCGTGTTCGTTCGTGTCTGTTGGCTGTGCCCAACAAGTTTTTCCCTTATTTTCTTCACGCATCATAACTTTCAAATTTAAGAAAAAAAATTGCTTGAAAGACATATTCGATGATATGATGCTGATGAATTACACACCACTGACTGTAAAAGTAGTAGTAGTAAAATTTTGTTTATTTCTGTTGATTATAGTGTATACATTGATTTTACATTTCAATTGATTTGACTATCTGGCCCTTCATCTTTGTTCATTGGGTATTCTAATTTAGTAGTTGCGTATTTCATCTAGTTAACAGAAAACCCCTTGTTTTAATTGAAAAATTTGATAACCTACCTAACTACGAGCCTAACTTAACTAACGTGCCAGATCACCTATGATCTGAAGATCTGATCTCAGACGGGTGTCTCTGAACCTTTCCAAGGAGACCGTTCGTCGCTCTTCGAGAGGCTGAAGACCAGCCAGGCGGTGAACCTCAGAATTTCGGGTCCTGGACTGTTTATCCTAAGGATCTTGTTCTGGAGTTTGTATGTGTTCCACACATGAATTGTTGCAACGTGATCAACAAATCAATATCTATGTGTCGGCCACATATTTAATATATGTACCATGCGTGACCACACATACTATTCATTTGCGTATAAATTTCATGTGTACTTCTGAGTGGATTCTGTTTATGTGTGGTCAAATGAAAATCATGTGAAATTTCACATTAATATATTTGTCAAGAAAAATGTTTAAATTGTTTTGAGTGAACCATAACCGAAACATTGAAATACTTGAAAATTTTAAGATAAAGTGTAATAGTCAAAAATGCATGAAAACATCAATTTTGTGTGGTTCTACGTCATACTGCGGTCGTGTCTAGGACACAACCCTTTATTTTTTTTTTTTCTTACCGTGTATGTTTTTGTTTTTGCATCACCCTTTTCCCGCCTTTTTAATATCAGCTGATGGTTTCGACCAGTGCAACCAGAATGACAAATATGTTTTCTTTAGAAGATGTGCAGGATTATTTACTTCCATTTCTTTTCTGGACAAACAAAATAAATTGAACACTGTTGAAGCACCTTCAAGAGCATGAAAAACATTGTTTTTAAAAACTTTGTTACAATGGTAGGTGATTCGTACACACCTTCGCAATGTGGTGTGTAAAAAAAAGGTAAACAAAAACATTTCAGCTTACAAAATTTTACGCGGTTCGCGTTTGTAACGATGCAAATGATATTATTGAAGTAAATATCGTCTTAAAAAGAAAATTAACTTGAAAGTGATTGTAGAAGCACGTGTCGTAATTGTTTTTAGTGAGGTTCTGAGAAGTGAAAGCTAGTGAAAACAGTTATATAAATTATATGCCCAGAGCAGAACGAAATCGACTGATCGTTCTTTTTAATACAAATATTGCGAATGCATGTATAAATTGGCAATATTTTGGTGGGAAAGTGTACAAATATGTATCCAGATCTTATCTATACAATTTTGGCCCATTTTTAAAGGTATGTAATTAGTATAGTAATTAACTATTTTGTAGGAAGATGTCTTGCGTACGCACGTTTATTTAATGATTGTGGGGACCATTGTTGCGTGACGTGCCGTATCACCTTAAATGAAAACAACAATCACGGCTGAAAATGTGTCGCGTGTTATTTCTTGGAATGGGTCATTCGCATTATTAAAGAAAAGAAGAAAATCGAGTAAAGAGAAGTCGAGCAACATTCTAACCTTAAAATTTTTCGGAACTGAACCAGGAATCGAGCACGCCTTCTCCGGTTTGGTAATACCGTGTCTTAACTTACTAGGCTAGCTGCGCCGGTGATGTAGTGGTAAGCGTGATTACCTCTCACCCCAGGAGGCCTGGGTTTAATCCCAGTCAGCGCCGCCGGGATGTTCTGAGGCAAAAAATCTCTGATCACGCCTTCCTTCAGAACGGAAGTAGAGCCGTTGGTCCCCGTTTCATGAGTTTGATGGGTCGAAAGGTAGGGCCCAGGTGTGGGAGCTGCCTCCCTGGCGTTGGTAGCGTTGGTGCTAAGCACGGAAAACAATTCAAGAAAGAAAAAAACTTACTAGGCTATCTACTGAGTCTGAACAACAATCAGCGTCAGTGGCAGAGCTAATGGGTGGATGTTATGGTGCAAATCTCCCTCAGCAGAAATCATTTCCCATGGATTTCTTTTTTCCTCATTAAAAAAAAAAAAAAATATAGGAACAACCCACTTCTAGCTAAAAAAAATTGGATTGCTTCGCTGTTGCAGATAATTGATAAAGTCAATATAATTCAGGCTTTCATGAGATTTTTCAGAATAAATTTCAACTAGGGTTAATGCCCCTAATGTCGGCTCAAGTTTCTCTAATATTGTGTCCATATTTAAATGCATTTTTAGCTAATTTTAACTAACAACTAAAAATATCAATTTGCATTGTACAGATGACGAATTGTTCCAGGAAAAATTTAAGACCAGGAGATTTTTATCGATGGGTACAATTGTTGGATCCATAGGACTACGTTAGAGCCATTTCCCCTATTTAGAATTGCCAATTGGAGTAGATGCAAGTTGCAGTCTGATCAAATCTGCTTTAAATAAACACAAGTATCAAAAGCTATTGGAGAACCTCACCTAAAGCAACTACGGGCGAAGACAAAATAAGGGTAAGCTTTATCGTAGCAAGATAACATTTGAATAAATAATTTATGAGAAACGTTATCGAGACGCCCGCCATTTCCTCACTTGCTTCGGTAATTCTTGCATAAAATTGAGGATATTCTTGCTAAGGCATTTTTCGAACCATTTGCAAACTTTCCACTCTGTGGCACAGCTGTTGAAAATAGTTGAACCCTGCTGTGCTGATCTATTCAAACCTGCCTGAGCCTTTTGTACAGGAAAGATATACGGTGGAAAAGAAGCTTAGTAAAACCGTTCTTCGTCTCAGAACGATAAACAAAACAGCGAAAAGCTGATAAGTAACACATGAAAAGCAACTTTCTGCCAGGAAGTAAAGAAAACAACTTCCGGGGCCGGTAGTTGCTCCTCCTTGTGTTGTGAAGCTTGAAAAAGCGCGTTGAACATGCCATTGAATAGCGTCTCTATGCTGTTGATGAGAGGGGCCACATGTAGACGGCACGTTGACTTTGCTCTACACCGCACCGGTGTCATGGTATTAAGGTAGAACCTAACATTCAATGAAAATCGGTCCGCATCGCACAGTAAAGGGATATACAAACACACAACTTATCTAGATTCACACAAGCACTAACTGGGAAGCTTTTTTAATCCTCCTCTGTCAGTCAGTCTCTCCAAGTTTACACGATAAAGGATAATCCTTATCGGATCAGGAAGAGAGAATGGAAATTGTGTTAAATTAAATTTAATTAATTTTCACTTGACACGGCAAAGTGGGAACTACTTTCAGATTCTCAAAAGAATTCGTTTCGATACACGATGTTAATTTGTGTAAGGACCAACAGTAGTATCCATTTTTATCCCTCTCCTTCTCATGGTTGCACAGGAGATCCTTAAGTTTTTTGGTCCATCTCATGATTGTCAATTTAGCTTTAAATATATTTGTACAAACTTATCCGTGTGCCCACTATTCTCTTCCATAGAATGAGCAACTATTGAAAGACTATTTGAATAGCTACTACTGCTTTTTGACAAAAACTTTATGTAAGAACTTGATAATTCGAATCTGTATAGATTGTACTTCTTTTGCTTTAGCACTTAAAAAAACACATTGAGCAATGGATGACACCAGCAAGTAGAGGAATGTTTCCTAGCCTTTTTTTATTTTGTGCAGGGAACTTTTATTGGCGATAAATCGATGGTGAAAGCCATTTTTTACAAAAGCAATTAAGTCCTTTTGAAATGTTGGTACTAATTTTGACTAAAGCGTCATATTTCAAAAGGGCGTATGTATTTTCATGGACACATGTTTGAACAAGCATATCTCAAAAACTATTGATGGACCAAAATTTGAGTTATTAAATAAATAAATAAAAATTGTACCGCAATAGTATCTTAGGACAAGTTATAGATAGTTGTTTGAACGAGAGAAAATATACACTGAAAAAATAATTTTGGGTTTTTTTTATTAAATTAATAATAACTAACATAAATCCAAACTTTTGAAAAAATGTTTACTAATTTATTTAGTTTTTTCTTGGAAAAATTAAGTTATTTTTTTTTAATCTACGGAGATGCATCCAAGTTTTAACCCATTTTTTACATTGTACTGCAACTGAAAACAAAATAAAAGAAACCACCAGATTTGGAAAGCATGACAAATTTC